CAGGATGGTCTCGATCTCTTGACCTCGTGATCCACCCGCCTCGGCCTCCCAAAGTGCTGGGATTACAGGCTTGAGCCACCGCACCCGGCCTGTATGTTTTAATTTTTTTTGTATTTTTGGTAGGTTGTATATTTCTACAAATTTATCAATTTTCTAGGTTATTCAATATGTTGACATTTAAATATTAGTAATATTCTCTCATAATTCTTTTTGTTCTGCTCCAGTTGTAATGCCACAGAAACAAAAAGCATTCGTTTTTTAAAATTTGTGTTACCTTATTTTTTTTTTTCTTAGGTAGTCCAGTTAAGGGTTTGTAACTTCGTTGGTCTTTTAAAAAATCTCATTCACGGCCAGGCGCGGTGGCTCACGCCTGTAATCCCAGCACTTTGGGAGGCCAAGGCCAAGGTGGATCACGAGGTCAAGAGATCAAGACCATACTGGTCAACACAGTGAAACCCATCTCTACTAAAAATACAAAAAAAAAAAACCTCCAAAAATCTAGCTGGGCGTGGTGGCACACACCTGTGGTCCCAGCTACTCAGAAGGCTGAGGCGGCAGAATCGCTTGAACCCAGGAGGCAGAGGTTGCAGTGAGCCGAGATTGCACCACTGCACTCCAGCCTGGTGACAGAGCAAGACTCTGTCTCAAAAAAAAAATAAAATAAAATAAAAAATAAATCTCAATCTTGATTTTGTGAATTTTTTTCTATTACTTTTCTATTCTCTTGTTTATCTATCTTTATTACTTCCTTCCTTCTGCTAATTTTTAGTTTCTTTTTTTTTTTTTTATTTCCTTGCAATATTAAGTTAGGTTATTTATTTGAGCTCTTTCTTCAAGCTCATGCTGCTGTAACAAAATACTACAGACTGGGTGGTTTAAGCAACAAATATTTACTTCTTACAGTTCTAGAGCTGGAAGCTATGAAGTCCAAGATTCAGGTGCCGGTAGACTCTGTGTTCATAAACGCCTCTTTCATATTTTCTGTGCTACATTCTAACTGACTTTTTACATCTATCAATCATCCATGTCATTAATTTCCTCTTCATCTGTGTCTAATCTACTCTTGCCCACTCACTTTGATATTCATAAGTGTGATGTCTGCATGTTCAATTTCATCATACAATATTAAGAATATTCATTTTCAATGATCAAGATTTAATAACTTTAATAATTTTTAGTGCTTCATTCAAGAACTTTTTTTTGAATGAATTGCATTTATTAGGAACAACACTGAAAACTCACAAGTATTTTGCACAGTTAACCCCAGGCCAGAGGACAGTTGGCAACCACATAGAAAAAGGATACCAGGACAGAGTCTATGGAGACAGAGGCAAGTGGATCATCTGAGGTCAGGAGTTCAAGACCACCCTGGCCAACATGGCAAAACCCTGTCTCTACTAAAAATACAAAAATTAGCTGGGCGTGGTGGTGGGCACCTGTAATTCCAGCTATTCAGGAGGCTGAGGCAGGAGAATCGCTTGAACCCAGTAGGCAGAGGTTGCAGTGAGCTGAGATAGTGCCACTGTACTCCAGCCTGGGTGATAACAGTGAAACTCTGTCTCAAAGAAAAAAAAAGATAAGAAAAAGAAAAAAAAGAAAGAGTAGAACAAAAATGGTAGAAATCAGGCAGAGTGTGGTAGCTCCTGCTTGTAATCCCAACACTTTGGGAGGCCAAGGTGAGAAGATCACTTGTGGCCAGGAGTTCAAGACCAGCCTGGACCTCTCAGTGACCACTGTCTCTATAAAAAATTTTAAAATTAGGGAAACTGAAGTGGGAGGATCACTGAAGCTCAGGAGTTTGAGGCTGCAGTAAGCTGTGATTGAGCCACTGCAATCCAGCCTGTGCGACAGAGCAAAACCCAGTCTCTCTCTAGCTCTCTCTCTCTCTCTCTCACACACACACATACACACACACACACACACACCACAAATACTGATACAGAAAGCCCAATAAACCCCAGGCTATCAGGTGTTACAAATAAAAGGATGGGATGGTAAAAGTTTTGAGTTGGGATGTCAAGAATGGCTATAAATAGAAAAAACAGATCCCACAAAGCGAAGCTGTCTGGGGAAATGACTGCAGTGGCAGCAATATTAGATGATAGAATGTGGAATATGTCAACTGATGACCTAACTCTTCACAGCACTACGTGTCTCAAGGAGAAAATGCAGGTAAGTATGTTTTATGAACTGTAAAGGGAAGTATCAGGGCAGCTGTAAGTTTCCTTCAAGGAACAAGTTGTTATTTTACAACTCTGATAATTTTGACTTTTGGGGAAGAAAACAATTTTAGGGTCAGCAAACATGCTAATTTACCTACAAGCATGTATTTTTAATAACATACCAATGTAGTTTTTAGATTTAGCAAGAAGTAATTATTCTTTTAATTGCTATTTAAAAATTGTATTTTGGCCTGGTGCGGTAGCTCATGCCTGTAATCCCAGCACTTTGGGAGGCCGAGGAGGGCTGATTACCTGAGGTCAGAGGTTTTGAGAACAGCCTGGCCAAAATGGTGAAACCCTGTCTCTACTAAAAATACAAAAACGAGCTGGGCGTGGTGTTGGGTGCCTGTATTCCCAGCTACTCAGGAGGCTGTGGTAGGAGAATCACTTGAACCCAGGAGGCAGTGGAGGTTGCAGTGAGCTGAGATTGTGCCACTGCATTCCAGCCTGGGAGACAGAACAAGATTCCACCTTAAAAAAAAAAAAGAAAAAAAGAACCAAAGAAAATTATATTATGGTAAATTTCTGGGGAAGGAATAACAAAAGAGAATAACAATAGTACTATCTCACACATTACGCTACAAATGGTTAATGGCATCAAAATCTACTTTCAACAAAAATAAAAAACTTACGGTCCATAATCCCCTTACCTTGCGTTTGGGTCTCATTCAGAAATAGCTTTAGCTTCCTGCTCCGAAGGCCAAACACTTTGGCTGCTTCATATAGAAGACCTTGGTGGGTGAGTCCATTCTGCCCAAGTGGGTTTTCAAGCAGGAGAGTACCCACTGTCCCCATTAAACACTCTATGGAAGAAAGAACAAACTGGATTAAATCTCGAGTTCACCTTCTAACTCCAACACAGGCGGCCACAGTGGACAGCTCTAACAGGCAGTGCTGAGACCAGCAGTGGATCCAGAAGCATGAGCGCGACGGCGGGAGATGCAGTCCTTGCAGAAACAGCCTTGAAGATTTCATAGAGGTGAAGGGGAAGGGAAAAAAAAAAAAAAAAAAAAAAAAATACCTTATATAAAAGCCCAGAAGCTTGGGGAACAGACACTTAGTACACAGTCAAGTGAAGAACCCGAAGACTTCAGTGCAAATGTGCAAAATGAGGATCCTAAATGATCAGGAAAAAAAATTGCTAAAATCTAGTCTGTTGACTCAGGCATGGAGGTACACAAGTTTTCAGAACATTTTACCCCAGAAAGAAAGTAAAATTAGAAATTAAAATGTTTTGGCACTTAAACAATTTAGTTGTAATTTTTGCCTAACCAATTTTTTCATTTTCTAACCATGCCAGATAGCCGAGGGTCTCTATGTGAACACATCAAAAGAAGAGTCTGCGGGTGCTCCCTAAAGCAGCATGGGAGCCCACACTTGAAAGCAATACTTTGAAGCCGACTAGAAACATGCACATATATACAGAACCTTAATGCCCAGCACCCCACACTCTGCCTGCTGTGAGGAGGCACATACCTTGTGGCTCTGCATTCAGGAGCTGCAGGTTGACATACTGACAAAGAAGAGTGCCAGAACTGTTGATCAGAGAGGGAGCCGATCCTGCAGTCACACAAAGTGTTTTTCCACTAAGACTCAGTAAGTCGGTTTGGTTTTGTATTTCTAAAAAGTAACAACGACAACAATTCTTTCAGGGTTAATGACAGTTCAAAACTGAAGTCATTTAATTTTTCCTATTTAACTATTAAACTAACATGTATCCTTTTACAACGATGCTTTCCACTTAATTTCTGTTTGTCAAAAGATATTGCCTTTTCTATAAAACCAGCCTTTAACGACACGTAAAGGTAGGAAATCTTAACGTTGCAGAATAAACATCATAATATTCATAATCTGAAATACAGGGCAAACTGTTTTTTCTATTTTAGTGTTTTCTCTTCATAATACAGCTCCTCTTACAATTTCCTCCTATATCAGAATCTCAAGCTTCACCATGAAAAGCTTATATTAAAAAATGATAATTACAGTCAGATGACATTTGACTCAGGAACAGATGTGGAAACAAGCAAGATGCACAGAACACATGCAGTATAATCTCATTTAGAGAACACTACACGTTGCTCGGGGATGCAGGCACAGGCAGATGACTGGTAACGGCTGTGATACAGGACAGACTCCAACTACTGAGCGGAAATGGCAGGTATGAGACTAGGCTGGGGCATTTGCTCAAGGAACAAGGAACTTGCTGCACCAGTGGCTAGATGCTCACGCTCAGCCTAGGCCCACATGGTCTCTTCTCTCAACCACAGGTGTGGCCTTGTAGGAAGTCTTCCAGGACTGGCTGACAGAAAGAAAACATTTTAGGGCTTGCTGTGTAGGGCTTTACCGCACAACACGCTGTGCCATCTGAAGTAGACAATTATAGTCTTACAGCCCTGTTCTCACTGTGGGTAGCCCTGAAGGATAGCGATGGGTGGAAATCCTCCCAATGGGAACAACTTCATTCAGTGCAGCTAGCTGGTCATTTTGCTCAGAAGGAGAAATAGCTAGGAGTAGATCTACACTGATTCGTGGACACTGGCCAATAGCTGGACTAAACGAGAATAGCCAGGGGCTCAAAGAACAGAATTAGAAAACCAGTGACATGGAAGTTAGGGCAAGAGGTATGTGGACAGATCTCTACAAACGGGCAGACTATGAATGAGCATCTAAAAATGAGTGGGGCTGGGCACAGTGGCTCACACCTTTAATTCCAGCACTCTGGGAGGCAGAAAGGGGAGGACTGCTTGAGGCCAGGAGATTGAGACCAGCCTGGGCAACACAGCAAGACCTCCTCTCTATAAAAAAGAAAAGAATTAGCCAGGCATGGTGGTGTGTATCTGTAGTCCTGGCTACTTTGGAGGCTGAGGCGGGAGGACTGCTTGAGCCCAGAAGTTTGAGGTTACACTGGGCGATGATTGAGCCACTGTACTCCAGCTTGAGCGACAGAGTGAGACCCTGTCTCAAAAAAAAAAAGAAAAAAAGAAAAAGAAAAGAAAAATTGGTGGACATGACCTATTCAGTCACTAGCCACTTCTGCCCTTGTCCAGTGGACTGATGAACAAAGGGCCACCAGGTTGGGAGGATGAATGACCATGGGCTCAGCAACATTACTTCCACTCCCCAAGGCTGATTGTGCTGCAGCTGCTACTACGTATTCCACTTACCAACAGCAGGAACCATTACTGAGCTTTCAATACAGTGTTACTGCCAGGAAAGAGGAGCCAGACCTCTGATGGCAGCCTGTTTGTACTGGACCGTTTGCATCATGGGAAAAGGCAGTGCTTTGGTCTTACTGGAATACACACTCCCTTTGGACAAGAATTTGCCACTGTCACCCATAACCCAAACCCACCATCCATGAACATAGAGAATGTCTCATTTGCTCAATTTGTTCCTTGAGCAAATGCCCCAGCCTAGCATTGCTTCTAACCAGGGAACTCATTTTTTAGCAAACAAGTGTGGCATTATGTATTAATATATATTAGTCAATTCTTATTTTTCTACTCTCTTACTTCCTTACCATATAGCAAAATATTTTAACAGGTTAACCTTATATCTCAGTAAAGTTAAAGAACAGAAAAGGGAGGAGGTATGACTCAGCTAGAAGAAAAATCAACAATACCCAAAGAAGGATAAGGTAACTTCCCATCTTGTTTTGGGTAATGAAGCTGGCATCTTTGAAGTTGTACAAGAAAGAGTTAAAAGCATGATTTTTAATGTATTAGGGTCTTTATTTGGAAGTTAAATATGGTTTAAAGAGCTATGTATAGATGTCAAGATCACAATGGGGTGAACTATGGTGGTTTCATCCTGTTTCAATGCAGCTAAGCTAAAACTACTTCCCAGGTTCTGTCTGGCCTGGTTCTGGGTAACAGCTTAATCACAGAGAAATCTGCATAGGATTTAGAAGGCAGAAGTTTATTAATAGTCATTATGCTCACAGGCTAACATGGGGCCTGGCACCCCTTGGCTTTCTCAGGTTGCTGTGGGTCTGTCGACTTGTTGGGTTAAGTGGGACAGTGCACAGCCCACGTTCCTGCCTCTACTCTTCTGGATTCCAGGCCAGGAATGTGTGCAACTCTCTGGCAAAGTGTACCAGCAGTTTCTTCTGTAAGACACCTGCCTGTCAGTGTCAGATGTGGTTAGACAGATGTGCACTCCAGCCTGTTTTTGCTTTTCTTTGCTTCTTATCCTACAGCGACTTTAGGCAGAGACCTAGCCTTCCGCTGACTTACCCACCACCTTGGTGGAACCTGGTGATGGGTAAGTCAGATGTAGACCTTTACTCAGTTTCTCTCACATTGCTTTTGTGTCTCCTGGCCCAACTTTAACGGATACAATAGCAAACAGTTTTCCAGTAGCTCCAACAATTCATAAGCCAGCAGTCAATGAGAGTTCCTATTATGTAATATCCCTGACAACACGTGATTCTGCCAGATTCTTCTAGTTTTTGCCAATCTGGTGGCAGTTAATAGTACCTCACTGTGGCACTATCTTGCAAGTTCCTGATTACTATTCAGATGCACCAGTTGTTCCTTAGCTGGCCATTTGCATTTCTTCTTTTAAGTTATTTAAAAGTTTTTGGGCCAGGTGGGGTAGCTCCCGTCTGTAATCCCAGCACTTTGGGAGGCCAAGGTGGGCAGATCACCTAAGGTCAGGAGTTTGAGACCAGCCTGATCAACACGGAGAAACCTCATCTCTACTAAAAATACAAAATTAGCCAGGCATGGTGAAGCATGCCTGTAATCCCAGCTACTGGGGAGGCTGAGGCAGGAGAATCACTTGAACCTGGGAGGTGGAGGTTGCAGTGAGCCGAGATTGTATCACTGCACTCTAGCCTGGGCAACAGAGCAAGACTGTCTCAAACAAAATTTTTTTAATGTTTCTGAAAATAAGCATTCAGATTTGTAAAGTGAGTATTAGTTTTCTGAGGCTGTCATAATAAAGTCCCACAAACTGGGGATGTGGGGAGTTGGAGGAGCCAGGGAATAAAAATAAAAGAAATTTACTGTCTCAAAGTTCTGGAGGTCAGAAGTCTGAAATCAAAGTGTGGTCAGATGTGCTCCGTCAGAAACCTGTAGGCAAATCTTTTTTTGCCTCTTTCTAGCTTCTAGAGGCTCCTGACAATCTTCACTGTTTCTTGGCTTGTAGCTGTGTGTAACTCCAATCTCTGCCTTTGTCACCACTGGGCATTTTCTCTGTGTGTCTCTATGTCTTCACATGGCCACCTTCTTATTAGGACAACAGTCATGCTGGATTAGAGGCCCATGCTACTGCAATATGACCTCACCCTAACGAATTACATCTGCAATAATCCTATTTCCAAAGGCCACATTCAGAGGTACAAGCGGTTACGACATATCTTTTTTGTCAGAGGTCACAATTCAATATGTAACAGTGGGAGAATGCATCTATAATTCTTTAAAATATTTTTCAGGTTTGCTTTATTGAGAATCCATGTAGTGAGATTCAGGCATTACATTTAATAAAGTTAAAACTCAGGTTGGGCGTGGTAGCTCACACCTGGAATCCCACCATGTTGGGAGGCCAAGGCAGGGGGATTGCTTAAGGCCCTGGGTTCAAGACCAGACTCAGCAACATAGTGTGACTTAGTCTCTCAAAAAAAAAAAAAAAAAAAAATTAAATTAAATTAGCCGGGCATGGTGGTGCATGCTTGTAGTTCCAGTTACTTGGGAGGTCAAGGCAAAAGGTTTACTTGAGCCCAGGAGGTTGAGGTTGCAGTGAGCTATGATTGTATCACTGTCCTGTAGCATGGGTGACAGAGTGACACCCTGTCTCAAAAACAAAAACCACCTCACCAGGGAGGACTCTGAAGCCTGAAGCCTACCAGCTGGCAAACAGGTGAGAGGGGAGGATTAGAGCCATTAAGTGCGGGCTTTTCAGTCACACCACACTGTGAGGAGGCATGATCAGACACTGCAGGCAGGCACTGCTGAAAAGCTGGGCCCTGACTCAAGATTAGCAAAAATGCAAAAGGTATGTAGTGCAACTGACAGCGAATTAAGACCTTCACCTCAAGTCAAAACACAGGCTCTTCTCACTTTCCACATACCTGTTTCATTATGGAAGACAGCCAGGTCTGCATTTTTCACACCAAAAATGCTACTGACAACACTCTTCAGTTTTAAAGGGTCCAACCTATCATCACCTTTTGGATTTTCCAGAAACAATATTCCACCTAAAAAGTCACAAAAATAAGACATCAGACAAGTAAAACTAAAATGTTAAATTTGGAGCAAAAGGGATACAAAGGGGTTCAAGCCCTAATTTTTTTTCCTTTTTCCCCAAATATATATCTATCTATCATCTATCTATCTAATCTATCTATATCTATCCATCTATCTAGATATAGATATCTATATCTATCTATATCTAAATAGACATATAAATAGATATCTATATGTATATATATCTATCTCCATCTTTAGTATGTGTTTTGGCATCCTTGTTAGATATGGTCCAGGCATAGAACTTGACCAGGCAACCTGTTCTTGTCTTTTTCTAGTTTCAAATCTTTGCATTTATGATTCTCATTTTTCATTTTGTGCCAATTGTAAATCCTCATGGCTCAGGTTGGTTAAAAATACTATCTGGCCCCTGAAGTCGATTTGTTCTGCACTTTAGATTTATGTACAGATATTTACTTTATTAATATGTTTGGACGTTTTGAGTTAATTGTAGAGCCAAATGCATGTAGAGAGATACCATGGGGCCCTTTGCCCAGTTTCCCCCAATGGTGACATTTTACAAAACTACAGTACATATCACAAACAGCATACTGACATTGATGCAATCCACCAATCCTATTCAGATTGCCTCAGTTTTACTTTTACTCATTGGGGCATGTGTACGTGTGGGTATGTTTAGTTCTATGCAACTTTATCACTCGTATAAAATCCTGTACCCATCACCATCATTAAGATACAGAGCAGTTCCACAACCGCAAGAATCTTTGTGTTGCCTTTTAATATCCACACCCAATTCCCTTCCAGGACCATTCCCTCCTTAATCCCTGGAAAATAACAGTCGGCATTTCTATAATTTTATCATTTAAAACATGTTATGTAAATGCAATCATAAAGTATGGAATGTTTTCAGACTTTTTTCAGTTGGCATCAATTTCTTTCTTTTCTTCTTTTTTTTTTTTTGAGATGGAGTTTAGCTCTGTCACCCAGGCTGGAGTATGGTAGCACGATCTCGGCTCACTGAAAGCTCCACCTCCCGGATTCAAGCAATTCTCGTGTCTCGGCCTCCCAAGTAGCTGGGATTACAGGCACCCACCAACACACCTAGCTAATTTTTGTATTTTTTCAGTAGTGACAGGGTTTCACCATGTTGGCAGGCTGGTCTCAAACTCCTGACCTCAGGTGGTCTGCCTGCCTTAGCCTCCCAATGTGCTGGGATTACAGGCATGAATGACTGTGCCTGGCCTCATCTGGCATAAATTTCTACAGATTAAAATGAGTTGCTGTGCTAATTGATAGTTGTTCCTTTTTATTATTAATGTGTTATGTGCTATGATATGGCTGTACCACAGTTTGTTTAACCATTTATCTGCTGAAGAATATCTGCGTTGTCTACATTTTGGGGCCATCATGAATACAAGTAGTATATACATTCCTGTGGCGGTGAACGTTAAGTTTTCAGTTCTCTGGAATAAACACATAGGAGCGCAACTATTGAGTCATTCAGAAAGCACATATTTAGTTTCTTGACAATGCCAAACTATCTTCCTGACAATGCCAAACAGAGTGGTCACACTGTTCTATAATCCCACCAGGAATGTACGTGAGGCAGCATTTGGTGCTGTAACTACTTTTAATTTTAGTCATTCCAAGGTGTCTAGTAAGATTGCAATGTGATTTCAACTTGTATTTTCCTAATGGCTAATGACATTAAATATTGTCATGTACATTTCTGTCATTTATATATTCCCTTTGGTAGATGTCTGTTCGTATCTCTACCCTATTTTGAAACTTGATTTTTCTTTACTGTTGAGATTTAAGAGATTTTTATATATTTTAGATATGTCCTTTGTCAAATATATTATTTACAAAGATTTTCTCCCAGTCTGTAGCTTGTTTTTCATCCTTTTACAGAATGTTCAGAGCAAAATCTAAATTTTCATTTAGTTCCACGTATCACTTCCCTTCTATGGTCAGCGCTTTTGTGTCAAGGCTTTAAAACTCTTTGTTTAATGTTGAAATGAAAAATCTTAAGACTTTTCCAAAAATACTAGTAGAACACTTTGGCCTCCTAGGCAAGCAACCTTAACTTATTCCATCTGCTGGAAATGTACTTTTGATCCAGCTATTGTTTCATAACATAGTGTGTTTTATAACATGTACGGCAGTATCCATTACTTTATGTTTACTGAGCACAGCAATACAACAAAAAACCTCATCTATTTATCTTTTTAGGATTCTTGTTTTTGTAAAGACTGCTGAACATACACATGCTATAAAAGTAGCTAACAGAGCAATGATGATAGCTAGCTTTGTTTTGTGTTATGTCTACTCAAAAATTGCTGCCCATTGGCCATTTACACCCTTAGGGTTTTGCTCATTTAGATGTTGACTATTTGTTGGATATGTAGATATTTTCCGAATAAGAGAAAATACTGAAGCATTAATAGTTGAACATAAATTATACTATGAGGAAGTATATGCTTCTACTAATCTGATTCATAGATTTGCCAATCTATAGAATGCTGATGTGACAGTTAAAACTAGAAAAAGAGAAATGACTATGTGAGGAAAAGACATGGTTTTGGTAAGGTGAACCTATTACGTATGAAGGATGTGTGTTCGTTAAGAGAAAAAGACTAGTTTTTATCCTAAAGTAGAATGACTTGTTTCACAATAAGAGTAAGGAAGAATTTAATCCAAAACAGTATGGCTGTAAGAAAGTTGCAGTAGGTTTGTGGAAGAGAAATCTTGGAAAAGGAATTTTAAGCGTGGTGAAGCTGGCTAAGATCTGAATGAATTTATAAGTTATCAAAATAATGAATCTTATTATCAAAAATCTTTGAGTTTTTTACTAACTTCCCCAAATCAAACTCTAAACTTAAATCTTTCCTTGAGCTAACTTCGGGAGCTTCCAGAGGGCCCCTAAAATATCTCAAAAGAATTTTCTTTCATCATGAAGAGAAACTGTAAACGAGTTACACTTATTTGATTATGTTAGATCTGTATGAGAAGCACTGTCAAATAAGAAATGATACTTAACCTTCTTTGAGTTCTATTTGTACAGATGTATTACTAATAATGTGTTCCAGGAACTGTGTGAAATTCCTAGAAATCTGACAGGTCTAATGTTATCAGTCACAATTCTAGTTACCTTAAAGTGCTGTACACCACAGAAATAACTCAACTTCCTTGTCAACTACAACATTACTATAGTGAACTCTCATCAGATATTTAACCATGGCCATTTAAAATCTTGTCATCCACAGATACTTGCTTTACTCCGGCACTTTCCTGAAAGTTACTGTGAGCAACTACGGATCTGAAGTGTTTCATCTTTGAGGAGATGCAATGGAAAGGACTCTGACAAGCACAGGTTTGTGTTAAGATCACATCACTGGACTGGGTAAGAATTCCCAGGGCTCTAGTGAAGTAATTAGCTAATTCATAATGCTGTCACAATGGCAATAACATTTCAACCTGAGTTTTGGAGGGGACACTCAAACCACAGCAGGATAGAAGAGACATTTTTACTATATTAAATCTTCCAATCCATAAACATGTCCTCCCACTTAGATTTTGTCTGATTTTTTTGATCACTATTTTGTAGTTTTTGGTATACAAATCCTAACACATTTTATTAGGTTTACATCTGAATATCTCTATTTTTTTTGTGGAGACAAGGTCTCACTCTGTAGCCCAGGCTGGAGTATAGTGGCATGATCACAACTCACTGCCGCCTTTATCTCCCAGGCTCAAGTGATCCTCCCACCTCAGCCTCCCAAGCAGCTGAGACTAAAGGTAACCACCACCACACTTGGCTGGTTTTTTATTTCTTGTAGAGATGGGGTCTCACTTTGTTGCCCAGGCTAGTCTTGAACTCCTGGGTTAAAGTAATCCTCCTGCGTGAGCCTTCTAAAGTGCTGGGATTACAAGCATGAACCACCACACCTGGCCTGGCATCTTTTTTTAAGTGACTGTAAATGAAACCATATTTTAAATTTCATTGTCCACTTGTTCACTGCTAGTATAGACTGCTAGTATGAAATAAAAATCATTTTTGTATGTTTATCTTATAT